ATCACTCTTGCTTCCCAAAATAAAATGCCATCCTCTGCGGTGAACTGATCTCACCATGTCCAGAAAGGTTTCAGTTCTGATTATGATGGCCCTTTTGTTTCCCCCATAGTTTTACCAGGGCCAGATCTTTTTGTATCCCCAGTCTGATATTGTCAGTGGTGACCAGAAGGATTTCCAGAAAGTTTGAAACCAGAATGGACTCTTCCACTGGCGGCACCAATGGTGGTGTATCTGCTAGTGGGAGCTGGTTCAAGGCATCTGCATTTGCTACTTGGCCTCCAAGACGGTGTTCCAACTTGTAATTGTACACACTTAAAGTGAGAGCCCACCTCTGAATTTAACCTGAAGCTATGGGCGGCACGGCCTTGTTCTCTTTGAGTAGCCCAAGCTGGTGTTTGTGTTCTGTTATTGTTACAAATTTACATCTGTAAAAGTGTTGGTGGAACTTTCACACACCAAAGATGACTACCAAACCTTCCTTTTCTATCTGGGCGTATTTGTGTTCTGCATCAGCCAAAGTCCGGGAACCATACACTAATTAGGTGTTTCTCTCCATTGGGCCATCAAGACTACCCCAATACTGTACGGGGAGACATCGCATGTCAACACCAGATCTTGCTTCGGATCATAGTGTGCCAACATTTTGGACAATGATAGCTGCTTCTTCACTTCCCTAAAGGCTACATTTTGGCTATGAGACCATTTCCAAGACTGCCCCGTTTTCAATAGTAGATGTAAAGGTTATGCCTGAACTTTCTGTAATAATTCACTAATCCAAGGAAAGACCTAAGCTCTGGTACAGACGTGGGAGCTGGGACACTTTTGATCACCCTCACTTTATGTTCTAACAAGTGTAACCTGGTCTTGTTGACTCTGTAGGCCAAGTAGATCATTTGGGGTGCCTGGAACACACAGTTTTACCTTCTAAGGCTTATGCCCGCCTTGAAGAAATGTCTAAGGATTATGTCCAAGTTCTCTAAATGCTCTTTATTGATCTTCCCTGTTATTAGTATGTCATCTGGATAAATGGCAACTTGAGGTAGACCTTGTAAAATGTTCTGCATCATCCGCTGAAACATAGTACAGGCTGCTGCTACCCCAAATGGCAGTCTGATATCTTTGTACAAACCCTTATGTGTATTAATTGTAGTATATTTGTTGGCATTCTCATCTAACCGCAGTTGCAGGTGCACATGGCTCATGCCCAGCTTCGTGAAGGACAGCACCCCCCCCACCTCACCAGCTTTGCTTATATGTCCTCTGTGTGGGATTGAATGTTTATGCAGCTGTGAGCAGTGGATTACTGTTTGTTCAAAATCCCCACAAAGGCGAACCGACCTGTCGGGCTTCACAATTGGTACAATCAGTGCTGTCCATTCCATAAACTGTAGGTTTGATAATTCCTTCGCTTTCTAACCTCCTGATTTCTGTCTCTTTTTCCTGTAAGGCATATGGCACTGGGTGGGCCTTGCAGAATCATGGATTTGCAAGGTGGCCTTGGCTCATTTGATAGTTCCTAGACTTTCTTGAAAAATGCCTGAGTGTTTAATTAGGATTCCACTCAGACAGCAATTTTCTAATCAAAAAGTGTTGAGCCAATTCAGGTGAATCTTTCTCAACCAATTTTGGCCCATCAGGCTTGGTCCCAAGCCTTTTACAAAAATCATTGGTAACTGAACCAGCTGCTTCCCATGCAAGACCTGAACTGAAGCTGTTCCCTGAATCTGTAAAAGTTCCCCGGAATAGGTTCTCAGTGTAGCTGAGGTCTTGCACAAACTTAGGGATTGGAGTACAGGGAGAATTTTGTTCAAGACTGGTTCTGCATTCACTGAAATGTCTGCGCCGGTATCAACCTCCATTGAACCAGGTGACTATTTAACCAGACATTTATTTTGGTTTGTTCTGATTTGGATGTTGCTAAGCAATTTAACTGTTCCAAGCCAGTTATCGGTGGACTTTCCAGGATGTACCCTCTCTTGGATACTGCCCTTTGAGTTCTGTTACTCAATTCAGGGCTAGTGGAACACTTTTGCTGTCTCAAGTCCGCGTACTGGCAGCAATGGTTTGCTGGCCCAGACCCTGAAGAAAATTTTAATCGTTTGGCCGAGGCTTAGCTTTGGTTTGGGGTTTTGGTGTGGGTTGACTTAGAATCCCTCTGTTCAGGATATGTCCTGAGTGAGGCTATGCAATTGCCTTAACTCAAGTGGTATCCCCCAAAATCAGTCAGCCACTTCAATCAGCATACCCTGTAACTCATAAGCTCCACTTGCTGCACTTTCTAATGACAAAGCCAATTGTAGTGCCTGGTTGAAGTCCAGTTGGGCTTCAGCTGGCAGATGTTTTTGCGTTGGTACATCATTAACCCCACACACCTAATGGTCTGTCAGCATCTCATTAAGGGTTAAACCAAAGTCACATGCTTTAGCTAGTCATCTTTAACCTAGTCAAAAATCCCTGATTCTTGAACTGATGAGTAAAACCAATAGCATCTCAGAATTAGAGGAGGCTTGGGGTCATAATATTCCTTAACTAAATCTGTCAACTCTTGAAAGGTTTTAGTATCTGGTGCCTCAGGGAAAGTTGGGCTCCTAATAACCGAAAAAACTGCAGGTCCACAGGCTGTCAGGAGAATTACTCGTTGCTTTTCATCTGTCCCAATTTCATTTGCCTAGAAAATAATTTCTTTCCACATCCTGGGCCCAGTCTTCAACGGAAGGATCCAACGAGTCAAGCTTCCCAAATAATGACATTATGCCAGAAATGCTTACTCCAATTCAAAGACACGTTTACGAGTAAATTTCTTCAGGAGCATTTTTTTTCTGTCATCTTCACTGAAATAACTCCACAGAGACCGGTATCTCATCTTTATTTGGTTTCCTACTTTTTAAACCTGTAAGGCTCTGAATTGCTCCAAAGGTAGATAAACCCAATTTGTTCCAGCTTTTCCTGATGACACAGCTGTGAGAAGTTGAGGATCAACATTGGAGTTTGTCTGTGTCTAATGCTTGAATCTGAACTGACTTGAAGCTTGATCAGTGACTGAAATTGGCATGGCTTTATTTAACGTGGGCTCTGATCAGAATGCTCTTTAGTTGTGACTTGTTATTATTTGCTTGCTTTATTGAACAGTTCACTAGTTGGAAATATTGAATGCTAAATCTACTAAACCTCAAGTTAGTTTCAACTTCATCCACATGTAATTGAGAAGTATATGAAAATACAGGCTGAAAAAATCTAGTTTCTACCTGGGCAGTTCCCAAAACATACATTTTGAATGCCCATTGCCTCAAATAATGGTATGCTGTACAACATGAATTGCCTTAGGAATGTTGTAAGTATAGGATAGAAAGATGAATCATTATTGACATGCTATTGGCTAATTTTTGTTTTCAGGTCTAAGTCATTTCTAATTCATTTAGATATCACAACTAAAAGTGCATGCAAGATCAAGTGCAAATAAAAATCATTTTGCCCCTAAATAATCTGGCTGAAGAGCTGTGTTCATGAATTAGCTTTAATGAAACCGTTGCGGTGTAGTTCAGTATGGCAACTGTATTAATATGGTAAAATTGCCCAGTGTTGGATACTGTCATTTTTCTTCAAAGAATAACCAGTTGTCAATTGGTAAAAATCCGAGGATTTTTATCAAGAAGCAGTGACAGTTACATTCTGGTTGCTGAGAATAAGCATGTAACTTAAGTAACAATAAGTTCAACTTACATTTTTAAACATTAGGAGGCTGATAGCTTTATCTAATTAATTAGATTTGTTTTCAAGACTTAGCAACACAATAAGCCAATTACAGCATGACATTCCATCAGTAAATCATAACCCTGTTAGCAGCAAAAACAAATTTAACTGCTATACAATATTAACTCAATCAGATAAGCTGTTCAACACTCTGTTTGTCACATAACCCTATTAACAGCAGAAATAAATTTAACCATTGTACAATATTAACTCAATCACACTGTTTTCTTATATCCCAACACCAGGTACATTCCAAAACAATCTCACGTCCAACCTGATCAATTACCACCCTGTCAGCAAACTCCTAAAAATTGCCAAACTAATAGATGGAGTCATAAGAGATCTACAGCACACGAAAAAGGCCCTTCGGCCCATTGCATCTTTGACAGTCAAAACAACCACCTAACTATTCTAATCCTTTTTTCCAGCACTTTGCCCATAGCCTTGTATGCCTTGGCACCCCAAGTACACATCTAAATACTTCTTCAATGTTATGAGGGTTTTTGCCTCTACCAGCTTTACAGGCAGTGAATCCCAGATTCCCACCACCCTCTAGGTATAGAAGTTTTCTTCAGATATCCTCTAAACCTTCTGTTTTAATTATTTACCTCTGATCATCAATCCCTCCATCAAAAGTTTCTTCCTGCCTGTGCTATCTCAGCCCCTCATAATTCTGTACATCTCAATCATGTCTCCTCCCAACTTCCTCTGCTGTAAGGAAAACAGCCCCAGTCTGTCCAATCTGTCTTCATAAATGACACGTAAATGTTCAGCTCTGGTAATATCCCTGCAAATCTCCTCTGCACTCTTTCTGGTGCTATCATGCTCCTCTTATGAAGGTGAAATGAAGTATGGTGACAGATGATGATGAAGTGGACAGGTTACTGTTGAACTTGAGTGCTGTTCCATCTATTCCTTGGCAAGTACTCCATCACAGTTTCTGACTCGTGTCTTGTAGATGGTAAAAAGAATGGAGTCATACACACTCTGTCCCTCACGCACACACATATGCACCCTGTCTGCACCCCTCACAGACACACACTCTCTTAGTCTCCCTCATACACACACATACACACTCACACACACACACACTCACTCACCCTCTGTCTGTCTCTCTCCCTCTCCACTTCTCACACACAGTTTCTGACCTTGTAGACTTGGGATTTGAACAGTTGCTTTGGTTCAGTTTGTGGTCGATGGCAGCCCACAGGATAAGGTTCTATCTAAATGAAAATTTGTTCTTTTCATAGGAACTGTTCTTGATGACATTGCTACTAAGGACACATGCATTCCTTTGAGTCACTGTCCTTGTGTTCTAAATGGTCAAGTCTATGCTCCTGGCGGTTCAGTGAATTCACCTTGCAAATCCTGGTAAAGCTAACTTATTTATGTAGCTGTCAACCCCTTCTCTTGTGATAAATGTTAGTGACATTATTATTGCTGAAAGAACTTGAGTTCTAAAGTGGACAGAACTATGTACAGCTTTAAATTTGATTTGTATTTCTATATTGCGTGTGTTAAGAAGGGGTGACATAATTTTAGTTTAATTCTTCAGGTCTATCAGTTGTACCGGACAATCTGCAAAGCTGTTTACGTGCACTTACATGAGGCTGAAAAAACACCCTTGGAGTGAATACTCAGTGCTTTAGAAAATAAAGAATAGAAAATTGGAGGAAAAAAATTTGGGAGCTGTTACCTAGCAACACAGACAGGGAGACAGAAAGAGACATAGAAAAGTTATTTTAGAAAGACAGATGCATTCAGTATGTCAGGGAGTGTATAGATTTCTGTCAAAAAGAACAAGTGTGTGGTAGCAAAGGTTAGTTTAGCAGTCTCCAAAGTGGTTTTGGCTGAAACAGAATCCTGAGTAGCTTAGAATTCAGTAAGATGCAAGCCCCAGAAACAGAAGGCGTTGAGGTGTGTGAAAAAGAAAATCTTAAATGACTTGATTCCATGAGTTTAAAGAACATATGATGGGTAGTAAGGTATCTGTATTAGCAGTTCCTTTGAGGGTCTCACAAGAAAACATAAACTAAAGAAGAAAACATTGATTAAATGCAGAGATTTGCTGGAAAGAAACCAATTGAAGAATGAACTTTAAAGTGAAAAACAGCTGATTCTTCAGAAATGTTTGACTATCTGTATGGTTATTGAGAATACAAGATCAAATTTTAATTTCTTAATTGGTGTCTTAAGGCTGGATAACTAATTCTTGTGTAGTGTAAAATAGTTTCCTTTTACCAGCTTTGTGAAATAAATATTGATGTTCTTTTGTTAAAAGTACAATGGCAGCTTCTTGTGAACATGTTCAGTGAATGACCATCCAGGAAACAAACCGCAAAATTAAAATTTACAGTTTATCAAGTCACATTTCAGTCTGGCACAGAGGATGAAATAAATGTCAGAGATTTAAAAAACATATAAGAGCACAAGTCTGGGTGTCCAATCATTTCACGTAAATGTTCAGTTACACATAAATGTATATTTGAAGCTACAGTGTGTTAAATGTTAATGATCTTTCAAGCTTTACTACCTGACAGGGAGTTTTTAGGGAATTACACTTCATTGATTCTCAATGATAGGTGATGTGGAGTTATGGGATTTCCTATATTATGGGGTCTCAGGAATTGTATATCTCAGTTTTTTGACATATACAATTTTCTGTTCTTTCACCATTATTGTTTTGGGTGTTTGGGACTGACTGGCAAGCCAACCTCTGGTTCTCATCTCCTTATCATCTATCATAAGCGATTGTCTCATTATCATCTGTAGCTAAAGCATGTCATATAATATGAGTGCCTAATAGAGCTTTTTACAAAACCAAGCCAGGATTTGGAGTATAGACATGGAGTTATGTGCACAGTGTTTACAATGCAGAAGTGTAGATGACTTAACCATGCATATGGACTTGCCCACGCAGGATATGATTTGGCCAGAGCAGATACTTCCAGGTGAATCTGCCTCCGGACAGTGGGATGCATTCAAGAAGGTAATATGGAGAGTACAAGGTCACCATATTTCCAATAAAGAAAAAGTGTGGGATCATTAAATCCTGTGTACCCTGGAAATCAAGGGGTATTAGGCATTGGATTAAGAGAAAAGGGGAGGCTAATGGCATATACCGAAGGCTCAAAACAGCAGAGGCTTGAGAGGAGTATAGAATATGCAAGAGGGAACTTAAAAGGGTCATTAGGAGACCTAAAAGGGAATACTGGCAGGTAAAGGGAAAAGAAACAGAAATTGCGGGAAAAGCTCAGCAGGTCTGGCAACCTCTGTGAAGAAAAATCAGAGTTAATGTTCGGGTCCGGTGACCCTTCCTGAGAACTGATGGTAGCTCGGAAAACGTCGGTTTATATGCAGAAAATAGGGAGGGGGAGGGAGTAAGGAGTAAACAGTAGGTGGAGGTAGAGTCCAAAGAGAGAAGTGCAGTTGGATAGAAATGGAGTTGATAACAGCCTGGCTAGGAAGGTGCATATCTGCTAATGGGGACCGTTAGTGACTAACAATAGGTAGTGTGTAATGGCAGACTATGTGATAATAAGGCCTCATGTGTGGGGTAGGGGGCTAGGACACCAGAGGTCTTAGGCCCTAAAATTATTGAACTTTATATTGAGTCCAGAGGGCTGCAGGGTCCCCAAGTGGAAAAGAAGTGTTCTTCCAGCTTGTGCTGAATTTCACTGGAACACTGCAGAAGGCCTGAGACAGTGATGTTGGCTAGGGAACAGCCACCTTAACACACCACCCTGTTCTCTTGCTGTTTCGGACCTGAAACTTTAACTCTGATTTTTCTTCACAGATGCTGCCAGACCTGCTGAGCTTTTCCAGCAACTCTCTTTTTGTTCCTGATTTATAGCATCCACAATTCTTGCTGTTTTCATAATATTAAGGAAAATCCTAATTTGTTTTACAGGTTAATTAAGATCAAAAGGATAATGAGGTAAAGAGTAGGTCCATTAAAAGCCACAGTGGTAATTTGTGCATGGAGCCAGAGGATGTAGGTAGGATTGTAAATGAATACTTTGGGTTGGTGTTCACTAGTGAGCCGGATGATGTGGGTATAGAAATCAGGGAGAAGGACTGGTATACTGAAAGAGATTAGCATAGACAGAGAAGGTGTCTGACAGATTTAAAAGTGATAAATCTCAGGGGTGGATGAAATGTATGCCAGGTTGTTGAGTGAGATGAGGAAGGAAATAGAAAGGGCAAGTGGAAAAATTTTCAGTTCCTCTCTGGCTGCAGCAGAGGTGCTGGAGGACACCCAATGTGAGGGATAGACCAGGAAAGTACAGGCCACTGGTGGTGTTGGGGAAACTATTGGAAGCAAGTCTGAGGGACAGAATGAATCTGCATTTGAAGAGGCAAGGTTTAATCAAGAGCAGCCAGCATGGTTTTGTTAAGATGAGATGATGTCTGACAAACTTGATTGAAATTTTCGAAGAGGTCACCAGGTGTGTAGATGAGGGCAATGCTTTTGATATCGTCCACATGGAGTTCAGCAAGGCTTATGATAAGGTCCCGCAAGGGACACGGACAGCGAAGAACCCATGGGATCAAAGAAAATTTAGCAAATGGATCCATAATTGGCTGAGTGGTAGAAAGCAGAGGGTGATTGTTGAGGGGTATTTTTCTGACTGGGTGTCTGTGTCCAATGGGGTCCCACTAGAGTCAGTATTGTTTACACACATGATTTAGTGAATGTGGGAGGGTAAATCAGTAAGCTTGCAGAAGAGATGAAAATTGACGGAGTGGTAAATAGTGAGGAGGCTAGCCTTAGGTTACAAAAGGATATAAACGGGCTGTTCAGATGGTTTGAACGTTGGTAAACAGAAATCAATCCAGATAAATTTGAGGTGATGCACTTGGGCAAGGCAAATGAGGCAAAAGAATACATCATGAACAACAGGACCCTGTAAAGCACTGAGGATTAGAGGGACCTTGATGTGCATGTCCACCACCCACCCAACACCACCCCCCCCAACCCGTTCTCTTAATGTATCATGACAGATTGAGGAAGTGGTTAAGAAGGCATATGGTATACCCGCCTTTATTAATTGAGACATAGAGTTTGAGAGCAGGGAGGTTATACTGGAACTGCGTGAAACATTAGTTAGGCCACAACTAGAGTTTTAAATGCAGTTCTGGAATACAAAGTCATGCATTTCTGAAAGTATTAACGTATTATTAATGAGATAAGTTGTCAAACAAGAATTACAGGAACCAGGACTGAGAACTTTGTTTGCGGCCCTCTTAAAGAAGAGAGAAAGAGAGAGAAGAGCATGGAAGTGATGATGGTTCAGATTCATGCATGTACTACAAGCATGTGCTCTGTTTCACAACTTTCCTATTCACAGTAAAAGATATATTCTTGAGCTGTTCAAAGGTCAAATTCATGGAAAGTGGAATTCTCAAATTAAAGGAAATAAAATATAGAATCACGTTACAGGCACCGTAGCAATACACAGTCCTTAAATCAAGCTGATGTCATGAATTTCCATCCATATTTATATTTGTCAATTGATATCTGGATATCAGCTGTTTCTTTTGATGTAGGTGTTTTAGAGGACAGGGGTCTGCTGGGGACCTGTGTTTTAGAAAACTCTTCCATTTTAGAAATCTTGTTTACAAGTGCCGGTTCAGCAAAAATCATCTAACTGTGATTCATTATTTTGAATCTTTCACTCACAGGTTATAGTTTCAAGAACCTGTACTCTGAGGGAAATCTTGACAGATGCAGAAGAAACTTACTCAGACATTGAGCAGGCCAACACAGCTGTTCTGTTCCTGCTATGCCAGTTGGTTACAGCATCTCCAAATTGTTTTTAAATTTGACTAGATCATTTCTGAAGCAATGTCCCGTCATAGGTATGTTTCCTATGATTGTGAATTGTCTAGTCAGCACCTTTTCAGTACCTCCTGTTGTATTTGTCTTCAATGACATCTATGTCTTGCAATCCCTCCTCGAATTCATGCAGCTTGAATTGAAAGACTTGAGGTGCTATGCTGATTCCAAATGGCATCTGGTTCTGACAGTATTGACTAAAAGTGCGCTGAGTGTGGTTAGGTATGATGGTTGTTCTTTGAAACTTACTTTTTAAAACCTATCACTGACATGGAAAATTGTGAATTCTTGAGCATATTAAATTAATACTTTCTATCTGACTTTACCAAGGAAGATGTTACTATCCAAGTCACGGTGACAGAGCAGTTAGTTTGACATTTTACAGGTTTAAAAGTGATGAGGAGAAGATTTTGGTTAAGTTGACTGTATTGACTAGGCTCCAGAACTGGCTGCAATGTGGAAGCAAACTGTCCATAATTTTCCAATCTTCCTTAGGTACAGGGTAGTACCATAGGCCTGGAGAATTGCAAAT